CCAATATTTTGGTTTGTAAATTCCTTCTCTACCTAGAAGAACCAGGTTCCTTGGAGAAATGTTGATTCCCAGACTGTGGCTGGGAAAGTACAAAATGAGCCTTGATCATCTTACCAGAAAGTAAGAAGTACTCAAAAAGTGTTGGGGACATGTCCATTGGACACAGGAGCCAGCCTGAAGGGGCAACCACTGGCTAAATCCTAGACAATTTCAGCAACACAATAAGGAGTAATAAATGATAGGTATTAAAATAAGAATTCATGAATCCATACAGGTATTTTTTTCATACTGATATTTTTTTAAATGCAAAAATAAAAGGAATAAAGAAGATTCATGTTAGAATGCCAACTAATAAATTTAGATGGAATAATGGAATATCACTATTTGTCAACTACTATAACCACCATACTAGGCAAAAATCATCAATGGATATTAAATGATTTGATGAGAAACAGGATATCTATATATTGGCAAAGAATCTCCCCAAAAGGCACCTAATTAATACAAAGGGAACAACAGTAACTCAGTGCAAAACCTAGCAGACACCACCTTAAACAAGTGATCAAAATAAACTCTGAGGAAGCCCTAAGAAGGAAATAATCACTGCTATGGTATTTGTCAAAATTTAACTTGACCCTAAACATGAGGAAACATCAGACAATATATTAGACACTCACGCATATATCCACATACATATATACCTATGTACACACATATGTATTACATGTAATGTATATAATTATATACGATGTAAAACATAAGTGTGCACATGTGTATAATGATAAAATATAGTAAAATATTACCATTTGGTGACTATCCAGGAAAAATATACAGGAACTGAGTTGTTTGTACTATTTTTGAAACATTTAAGTATAAAATTTGAAAAGAAAAAAAAAAAAAATCCCACCAGCAAACTGGAGGACATAAGCTGGTAACTTAACACTTATTTCTGGGAAGGGTCAACTCATACCATCCTACAAGCTTTGCAATGCAGGACTCCAGAGAGTGAATTTCTAATGTATGGAATGTGGCAGCCCTACAGAGAAGAATAAAGAGATGATACAATAATTTTGGCCTGCTTCTATCATCTCTTGTCCTGAAAATTCCAAATTATCAAGACAAAAACAAATCCCTCCCTTAAAGACAGAAACTTGACAAGCCATGAAGTAGAAAAAAGAATTATGGTTATAACAGGATCTCAACTACATTAAAGATGCACAAAGGAAAGAAAAGCACTTAAACATGTAAAATGATTATCTCTGGGTGATAAAATCTAGTGATATTTTCCTACTCTACCTTCTAAAATTAGAACATAATACTTCATAAGAAAAGTTTAGGAAATAACAGTAATGAACATTGCCAAGTCACAGAGAACGGGAGCAATGACTACAGGATTTAGAAATACAGCAGGAGGGGAAGAATGAAGGGGGGAAATCAGAAGGGGAGACAAACCATGAGAGAGGATGGACTCTGAGGAACAAACTGAGGGTTCTAGAGGGGAGGGTGTTGGGAGGATGGGTCAGGCTGGTGATGGGTATTAAAGAGGCACGTTCTGCATGGAGCACTGGGTGTTATACACAAACAATGAATCATGGAACACTACATCAAAAACTAATGATGTAATGTGTGGTTATTAACATAATAAACAAATTTAAAAAAGAAATTAGACCTTGCTTTTTGAGAGGCTGAGTGCTGAAGTGTGTGGAAGAGTCAAGATATAGAGCAGAATACTGGCCTTGCAATCTAAAAAAACAAAGTCCAAATCAGCCATGTTTACCTCTTAAAAAAAGAAACTATTATCTGTGTTTTCTGACAAAGCTGTTCTGTGAATCATGCACGATAATGTATGTGAAAGTGTAAAAAAAAAGGATAGTATTTTAATCATATGGTAAATACCACTTGGATTTAAAAATAAAGGTGAAGTTAAAGGCGAAAAAATATATAAGACAAATAGTTCTGAAACTTTTATATTTGTTAGATTCATTTCTCAGATCTACACAAGAACACAAAACAAAATGTCCATTTATGGAAGCTGCCTTGTCCCCCCCCAACCCTTGCCTGTAAATGTAGTTTAAGTGGGTCCCTCTCTTTTTACATTACTTAACTCACTTAAAATGTTCATTTATTACATAATTATAGATGATTCACTAGCTCTAACCCAACCTCCACATCTCAATTAACAGTAAGTCACCTCAACCTAAAGGCTGAGCACTGTGATTCAAGGCAAATAACCTACAGCTGTGCCTTTTAAAGCTCTTTCACCTATTCAAATGACCTCATCTTTCTCTGCTTTTCTCATCTATACAATGAGTTATTACCTCATTCACAGATTTTTGAGCATGAAATGAGTTATTATAAAACTTTTAGAATCATTTCCTGTTTGGAGTAACAGTGAATAAAAATGTGTATTTTTTATGATGGTTATTAAAGATGGGCATCTAGCAAGCAATTAATAACACAGTTAATTCTAAATGTCTATTCTCTACACGGCTAACTTTTAAAATGCTACTCATCCTTCAAGACAAAGCTGGAATGTTGCCGCCACTTGATACCTTCCCTAATTGATTCCAGACTGAAAAGTACTCATTTTCTCATACATTCTATTGTTACAGCATTGCCTACTTATTAAAGTGGCATTTCTTTACCTACTGCATCATGCTATTTACTTACATGTATTGTATCCACTACTAGATTGCTCCTTAAGGTCAAAAAATGGAGTTCTTGTATTTACACTGCAGAAGAGTCCCACACATTTTATACACAGTGACCATTAAGTGTTCAGCTTAAACAGTTTCAGGCCCTTTTGTTTTTGACATTAGTATATATTTGTGCAGTATGTGTATAAACACATTCTACTGACTATACAGATGGTTGACCATTAATCTATATTGAACATATTATATAGGAAGAAACATCCAATAATTTTAAAAATTCATTTCAATAAAAATTATCATGTTCAAGACAGCAAAATCACAGTGACCCTTGAGATGCTAACAGGTCTAATGATCTAGGAAGAAAGGAATGGATAAACTATTTATTTGGCTTCAGCAAAAGGAAGAAGTTTCAGAAGTCACCTGAGAAAATAAAATTACAAGTTAATTGCAGATGTATGGGTTCCCAAAGTAGGAATCTACTCAAGGTATTGGCTATTGAAGACCTGCTTTCTTCAAAGGGCCGTATACATTACATAATACACAGTAGTTATACCTAACAGGTTCCCTTGAAACTCTACGGTTTCTACTTTTGTTTTATGCTTTTAATCTTCGAAATGCTAGTTTTTGACTTAGAGTTCTAAGAGATCCAGAGCACTGTGACATCAACTTATTTCAGAAAGCATTTGCTGTCAATCCAGTTAGGCCAAAAGATTTCACCTTTTAATTAAACCTATTATTAAATTATACAGACTCCTAGTGCTTTTTTTAGTATTTTCTAATTTTATTTTCTAAGAAGCCATTCTAGATAAACAACTAATAATAGAAGATACACCTGGAACTTTCAAAGTCAGTTTCTATACCAAGGCTTCCTTGCCCAGGTGGTTTTAGTGTAAACACTTATGCCCTCTGGTTAACAGAAATTCAGCTACCCATAATCTTATCCTTCCATTTTAGTCTTCATAACAACCTATGAAGTAAAACTTTTTAACACCATTTTGCAGATGACAGATGTAACAGAGGTACAAAGCAAATGGTAAGTTTTCAGTGGGCTTAGCCCTTCACTGAAGGGCTAAGCAACACTCTGAGGTTAAGCACCAGCAAGAAGAGGAGAAAGCTTGGCTCTAGAACTCAAGCTCTTGCATTCTATTCCACCGTCCTACAACCTACTACACAAATTAGATTTAGAGATTTTTTTTTTTTAGACAGATGAAAACTGCTGACATGTGGTCATGTTTTCATTTAAATAGTATGGGCTTAGAAAACAATTATGTTACCTACTCATAAATTGCAACTCAACTTTAATTTGAGGACAGTTTTCTGATCTTACGCTTACCGTTCATCACGTGACTACCAGAACCGGGTCTGGTAATGTTTTATGCACAGAGATTGAAAGTCTAGAAGATTCACTGCACCCCACCTTTTTTTCCCTGAGCTTACATATAGCTCAATAAGAAGTTAATCACATGGTCATGAAAATGCTCTGTAATGTGACAGTATTACCAAACCTGCATTTTGTATTTTTCTTTCAAACTACTATCGAAAATACTTTAATATAACCCGTTCCAGTCCTATTTGTCTTTTTTAAAGTCCTATATTATCCTCCCTTGTTCTATTCATCTTTAAATACTTCCACGTTTTCTCTTAACATTTATCCATGGGTCTCACAATAAAAAATTACCATAAATGCCTGAATTTCAATTTGCTCCTGTGGAAAATGGAAAAAGACGTTAGTCCGGCCTAGCTGCATCCTGAAACTTAGCAAAAGATAAAAGTCTACGCTGACAGAGCCAGGCGTGTTGACAAATGAATGGAAAATAAAAGAACATCTCTGGGGTGGCTTCGCCATCCCTCATCTCGCCAGAGGCCCACAGACGCCAGGAGGCAGGCGGCCGCGATCCTCCTGCGACATCCCGAGCGCAGTAGGCCTCGATCCTCCCTCTCTCTCCGCAGGCTCAAGGCGCAGCGGCAGTTTGGCTACAAAAAGGACAAGGCACTGAACGGCTTCCGTCACTCCCGGAATTCCCAACTTGTTGGGGAGAGGAGGGAAAACCGAGGCGACGACCGGAGGTTCCGCTCCAAGGAAGCTGCCGACAGAAACCCGGCAGGGTCTGTAAAACGCAGGCAACAAAACTAACCAGACACAAGAGCTAAGACTGACAGTGAGGGACCCTGGGGTCCCCAAAAACGCAGCTCGCCGCCTCTCCCCCGCCCGAAGGGCGCGGGGTCAAAGGCCATCTGCAGAAGCTCCAAGCACATTGGCTGACGGACAGGCGCGCAGGCGCTGGGGGTGGGTCCCATACTCGCCGCAGCCGCGTCTGCGGAGCCGTGAATCCTCCAGCTACTCACCGGGGTCTGGGAATCCGGCCACAAGCAGACGCTTCAGCCAGAGCCGTAGGGGTTGAGAGGAGAGGGAGAGCTGATGCAGACAGCGCGCGACCTCCCCGCAGCGAGCCCATCCAGCCCCGCCTCCCAAAAGGCGCGCGCAGAACGTTCTTGCAGCCCCGGGGGGCGGGGCCTGACGCCGGGCTCCAGAAGAGGGCGGGGCGCTGTCTTTCCCCGCACGAGCTCCCCCTAATCTGCGAGCGTCGGGAGGGGCGTGGATAAAGGAGAGGCGAGCTTTTCCGGGTGTCCGGTGCGGTTGGAGAAAAGGGGCGGAGCCGACTCGGGCTGGAATCCCAGCCCACCTCTCCGACTAGAGAGGACCCGCCCCTCTCTTAAAAACTGTTCTGCGGTTGCTCTGGGAAGCTCTCACTAATACAGGACAGCTGGCTTTGATGGGATGCTTTCCAGAGTTGCTTTAACTCGAGTACACCGGTTGTTTTCAAACTCTTTAAGGAACAGTTTTATCTTTTTTTTTTAAATGGAAGTTTTCTTGAAGGCCCTAAGTAAATAAAGATGACATTTAATTTGCAAATGTATAAAATCACATTTGTAGTGGAGTATAGAAATAATTGAGAACAATGAGACAGGTGTAAAGAACAAGAACTTTCGAAAGAGGGGTTACAGCTGAAGGTTTCCATCTTACATCAGCCTGAGAAGCCAAGAGAATTCTGTTTTGTAACAAGGAAATCCTGGCTCACAGTCTAGAACTTGCTGACGTGACCAATTTTGTAAGGGCTGTCCTTAAAATCACACTGGATTTTTAAGAGGAATTTTGGTTGTGAAATATGCATATGTGAATGTATCCCGTATGTGCACATTTTAAAAAATAATAAAAAGAATACCCTGGTACCCATTACAGAGCTGAAGATGCAGAACACCAGTATTTTTGAAGCCTTCTCAAAAGCCCTCTCCATCTCGCTCCCAGACAGAAATAACCTTTATGCTAAATTTTGTATTATTTATTTCCTTGAATTTTGAGCATAGTTATGTATGTGTGATTCCCTAAAAATATAAGTTATCCTGATGTTGTATTTTTTATAACGAATCATACAGCATTTTCCCCTCCGGCTTCTTTTTTTCACTCCACATTTGGGTTTTGAGATTTATCTATACAGAGATACATTTCACATAGGCTGGCATATCACCATAACACCTGTTGTTATTGTTAGATTTTAAAATTTTTGCCTGGCAATAGCATCTCTTAATTTGCTCTTTTAATTTACATTAACCCCCTTGCCAATGAGGTTGTGCATCTTTATAAATGCTTAGTGGCTATTTGGTTTCAGTAAAATGCCTGTTCTCAATTTTAACTCACTTTTTGTAGGCTTCTTGCTTTTGGAAACTAATTTGTAGATAATTATTTTTAAAGTTTAAGTACGTTTCTCTTGTTGGTTATATGTGTTTCAAATAGCTTCTTTCAGTTTATGGATTGTCCTTCTAACTTTCTGTGGTATCTTTTGATAACCAAAAGCTCTATATTTTAAGTATTGCTAGTTGAATTTAACAAATTTTTACATTATAGTTTCACACATTTTGCTTTCTTGTTTACAAGAGTCTTCCCAACCTGAGACCATAAGATACTCTCTTTTATTTTCTAAAAGTTTTAAAGCTTAATTATGAAATATTTTTAGACACAGAAAAATATAAATAAAATAATGAGTATGTTATAGGCTTTGTTGCTTTTGGAAATTAATTTGTAGATAATCTTTATATATTTTTAAAGTTTAAATACTTCTCTCTTGTTGGTTATACGCACTCAGCTCTACATATTGAAAAATTTAGCGAGCCCCTCTTTCTTACAGTTCTTCTCTAAAATCGCCTTAACTACTCTTGGCTGTTTGCTCTTTCATATAAACTTTAGGATGAATCAGCCAAGATCCATAAAAAACCCTATTTGGATTTTGATTGGAATGGATTTGACTTTATTGATTAATTTATGCACAGGCCTGGGAAGTAAGGAGAAGGATCTTTATTGCTAATGCCAAACAAGAAATGGATGCTGTTTTGCTAGTATCAGGACAAGATCAACCCCAAGGATCTTGTGGGGGTAGAGACTATTATAATAATAAATGGCTACTATTAGTTTAATGCATTAGGACAGTTTCAATAAGAATTTGATAAGCAAAATTTGTATTTTTTCCCCATTCTTCCCTGGTTGGATCATTTTTTTTTCCCTTTGGGATCTCAGTGACCATCCTGATGCAACACATTTGAAATGTCTCTTTACTACACAAAATCAATTTATATGCAGCTGTCCCTTTTTTCCTTCTAGCAATCCATCCATTAGATGAATGGCATATTCCTCCAGTGCTAGTTTTTAGTTAAAATACATATGAAAAATAGACAATTGAATTTGGCAGAAATTATAGCCATCCTGTATTTAAAAAATGTCAAGATTTAGTGTGTAAAAATATATGTGATCATTACAACAAAACATTGTTCCCATACCTCCCAATAATTAAGTAATCCACACAAACACACTTTGTAAAAAAAAGTGATGTGAGTAAAATAACAATGACATTGTCTCTATAAGTAATATATCTACATTTCTTGCCATTAGCACGGGACCAACGGAACAGTCAGAGTTATAAGATGAGGCATTAGTTGCAATCCCAGTCCAATTTATAAATACTGTTTTGCATTGAATCTGATGGGTAGAAAAAGTCATGCAATGAGAATCTACCCTAATTAATGTATGTTGGCAGACATAATCAAACAGTTTTTAAGAAGTAGGCAAGCACCAATATAGTTATAAAATAAAATACCCTTTCTTTCATTCAACATCAGGATATTTATTAATATAATAACTCCCATAAACAGAGTAGGGAATAATGATTATTTCAAAAAATGCAGAAAAAAAAACTAGGCCCTCAGGACTGATACTCTCTTATCTTGATTTCCTAGGATTCTATGATACTGGAAATATTACTTTAGAATTTCTATCTCTGTCAATTTTTAAAATTGATAAACTGGTGGCAACAATTGACTCTAGAGAGAGAGAGAGTTATCTAAATGTTCAAATTGAAGCAAGAAAGGAATTTGTATCCTGAAATCCCCTACTGCACTGTAAAAGATTAGCGTCTCCTTGACAGCATGGATTTTGCCCTTTTTAAATGTCCAGAGCCAACAAAAGTTGTTGACATATAACAAGAATGCAACAATAATTTATTCAGGGGATAAAAGAATAAAAGACTAAGGGGTTACTTACTCATTATTATTTAATCCTAGTTTCTGATATGTACTGTTTGCTCTAGTCCTAGAACTGTCCTTACTGTCACCTGAATACCTTATGTCTTTTTATCCCCTCCAGTCCCTGCAGTTTCCTCAGAATCTCCTAGACATATTATGTCATTTCATACCTTTGTTCATCACTCCACTCACCTGACATGTCTTCTCAGTTCCTGTCCATATCCTTTCCACTCATGCTAATCAGAGATCTTTTTTACCAGCAATAGAAACTGAATCTGGCACACTAAAGCACAAATAGACCTCATGTGGAAGGTTACAGAGTATAGCAGGAAGGTGAAGCCTAGTGAATTAGGCAATGGGCGGGAACCCAGAAGGGCTGGACAACTGGGATCACAGTCTCATGCAATGGTACAGATTAAGGCACTGATACTTTCAAGTGCACTGAACTCTCAATGTTTGTGACACCACCATGAAGAATTTATCCATTCTGCCTGCATTGTTTGCCTTACTTCTTCAAGATTAAAATCTTTGGTCGGAAAAATTTGATTAGCTAAGCCTAGGTTATATGTCTGTATCTCCTTAGCTTCCTTGAAAAAGGAGTCGGTCCATTTGGCTTCCTTAATGGGCAGTCAGGCACAAGACACACACTATGGTATTCCTCCAAAACCAGGATTTTGGGATTCTAAATAGCCAACAAACAAATGCAGTAAATCTCAAAACAAAAGTTCAATTATCTACTACACTATGCTTCAATGTCCATGTCAAGTCTACCTTCTCTAATATTGTACTACGTACAATGTAATTATTACTACATATATACATTAATCACTATTACAGTGAGTACAGGCAGTACTATGAAACAGCAATAATTTCTTCATTAATTAAATTGTCATACCATTCTTTACATCATATTTTGCTTTATAAAGGTGTAACTCTTGACTAGGCTATCTCTTGACATCATTTGGAATGCAAAGAATGTAACTCCCAAGAAATCCCCTGAATATAACACCAAAGCCTCTACCAGCTGATAGCAGCAGATAATTCAGAGATCCAAACTCTTACCCATCACCCTACTGCTCTAATTTTTCACCATGTGTACCCAGAGATCTTGAATACCTACCAGTCTTGACAACAAAGAATACAATCTAACTCTATCCTACATAAATTCATAAATTGTGACACAGGTCAAAGAGGAAACTAGTGTTGGCAGGTCATGTCTCTAACTCAAAGCCGTGTAAATTCCCTGGCCTTGTAGTGGCCACAGGGGCTAAGGTGCCTTCTTTACTCATTATAGGGGCTGATTTAGGATTGACTCACACCCTAGTATTAAACTCAGTGTAAGTAGTTCTCAACTGCTATGGTCTCAGTGTTTGCATTCCTTCAAACCATGTTGAAACCAAACTCCTCTGGTGATGGTACCAGGAGGTGGAGAATTTGGAGGTGGGGACTTTTGAAGTGATTAGGTCTTGAAAGAAGAGCCGTCATGAATAGATAATAGTGCCTTTAGAAAAGAGGATCCAGAGAGACCCTGGCCCTTTTCTGCCATCTGAGGATAAAATAAGAAATCTGTGGCTCAAAAGAGGGCTTTCACCTGACCATGCTGGCACCTTAAACTTAAACTTCCAGCCCCCAGGACTGGGAGAAATAAATGCTTGATGTTTATAAATCGTCTGGCTATCATATTTTGTTATAGCAGCCCTAAGCAGACTGAGAAACCACCTAATAGGCCAAGTCCATTTGACAGAAGCTCTTTTCATTTCTGATTGAAGCACTTGGCGAGGTTATGGCACTGCAAGTGATGGAGATGGGAGAGAGTTCCAGTGTCATTACTGGCCCACACAGAGGTGGCAGAGCATTCACCTCTGGCTAATTGGTGCAGCT